TTGTGTGGTGCTGGTGGTTGTTGCCGTGTGCCGGTCCCCCGCCCGGGTGGTGGGGCATTGAGGGTAAAGGCGGCACCCTGAGGTGGGGTCTGTAGCGAGCGGTGGAGTGGGCCCGTCCTGACCAGCAGGCCAACGGGGAGGTGCAGCTGGGTGGGCCTAGCCGCACTTGGCACGTTTCTCAGTGTGTGACAGTGCTGGTGTTGCAGTGGGGACGGAGGATTGCTTTCCACCGGGATAAGCTTACCACAGAGTCAGGAGAAGTGCTTAGCACCAGGCAGGGGGGAGGGTGCGGGATCTTTGCTGTCCAGGGTCAAATTTGTGTAAACTTGAAGGTCCAATTCTGTAGCATGGTCCATCTGCAGACTGTTGCTAAATGAAGCTGTCCCCCTCTCTTGTCCTCCTGTCTTCTGCTTTCTTTGTTTTCGTGGGTAAGTTAATCTCTCAGATCAACTCTGATTCAGTCAGAAACAAATCACTTTTTTTGGGGGATAGGCTTTTCTGTCAGATGAAACTGTTGATCTGATTGATTTCCTATATATGATCTGCGGGTGTGAGAATGTATGGTGATGTAGAAGGAAGAAAAATAGGATTGCCCTTTGAACAGCAGCTTGCTCTTAGATTATGCTAGTGTTAATGCTGTGCTTTGCCTTGAATTTCAGAAACATGAAGCCAGTTAGCAGCAGTGACTCAGCTAGTGAATGGGCTGGCAGTAGGATTCCTGGACCCCCTTCCACAGGGAGATGACCCATTGGGAAGCTGTGTTTTAGTAACATACAGTTTGTTTTGCTCTATAGCACAGTGATGCGTGTCTGTTGGCTTGTGGGGAAGGAGAAATGCAGTCAGCGAATGAAACTGCCCCACTTGGAAGCAGTGGTAATTGGGCGTGGCCCAGAGACTGGGATAACGGATAAGAAGTGTTCAAGGCAGCAAGGTAAGGTTTAGCTCAAGTCCTGCTTTCTACGTGCAGCAGCTACCAAACTTGTGAAGAGTGTGAGACATGAGTACAGCACTCATGTTCATCAGTAAACATAATTCTGGTTGGCTAAATTACAGTGAAGCTAATGGACCAATGTTTTGGCCACATTTGTAATCCTGCTTTGAGCAGGGTCTAAATGGGAAATCACAGTTTTTCCTTGAAATCTGATGTTCCTTAGGCTTGCTGCTGCAGTCACAGGCTTCTGGTCTCCTTTCTCCGCATGGTCCATTGTGTTGCCTGATTCTTGAAGTCATCAAGCTTTTTTTATAAGCACTTATGGAGATCTCTGGGTCCTAAAAAATCAGAGGAGACACCTTATAACAGAAGTTCACCTTTGTAAACTAAGGCATTGAATTGTAACATGAGTGCCCAGGCCCACAGTCATGTTCCACTGCTTGCATTCTTGCTTTGTGAGTGGCACTTCATCTCCCTAGTCTTCCACCAACTGATTTTTAGTATAACTGTTGTTATTTTATAGATGCGCTGAGAGAACATATAAAAATATCTGATCTATAAAATACTCCACATCTTCCCTGCCTTATCTTTATTCCCTCTGGACACAGTCCTGCTCTGTGCCTTGTTATCATGGAGGGCTGGTGAGAATAGTAAGAATGTGTAGGAGACTTGCACAGATTTCACCTTTATTCTGAAGTAATTTTGCTGATCGATGATGTGAAATACTTGGGGGTGACTCTGTTTATGGGTTGGTTCTGTTTTACCTGTGGTCCTGGAAACAGGATGAGGCAGAAGTATCTTTGCGTACATTCACAGAGATCAGCTTCTCTCTTTCCTTGAAATACAGGAGTGTTTTCTGCAACGGTGGTTCAACAGAGTTCTGGCTTTTTTATTTGCAATGTTTTGTGACACTTTGTTCTTTCTTTCCAGTTCAGTTAAAAGCAGACTGTAACAAGGGGTATGTCACAGTTAAGCAGGTATGTTTTTAAATGGATATACAATATTTCTGATACTGGGACGGTGGTTGTACTTAAACTCCACAAATGCTGCAAATGATGATTCTGAGCACTGGGTCTGAAGGGCCTGAAGCTGTTTTGTGACCGAGGAGAGCACAGCGAGTGGTCCTTGGAAGGGATCTATTTTTCTTTTGTGTGTGTGTGTGTGTACCTCAATTGAAAGACTGCACTATTCCTTCCAGATATGCTTCGGTGTCAGACAGCCAGACTTGCAGCATCAGGGAATGCTGCTGTGAATCCTCAACCTGTTCTTCCAGGCACTACATTTGAGAGATTTTGGAGTTCTTCCCCTAAACTTGCTGATCTGCCTCCTGAGCCTTAATCTTCTAAAGCTGAGGCAACCCTTCTTTTAAGGTCAAATTGGTTCTTGTGTTAATGGGACTGGGCAGTTGTGGAACGTTTTTTTGTTTTGATGGCTGATAGAACCAAAGGTGTGGTCACCTCTGGGAAGGGATGGGATGTGAGACAGCACTGAAGGCGTTCTCATGTTACTAACTGGATGGATGTAGGCCTACTCTGTCATACTTAGAAGCACCAGTATCCCTGAGGTAACGTGAAGGGAAAGTTCTCTGGCTTCAGGTGCTGGGGCATGTATGTGTGCCTGCAGCCTCAACATGTGTGGATAACACATCAACATGTTCTGCCTACGGAGGAGTAGCGTCTTTTGTCAAAACATCTGCAGAGCTCGGTAAGCACTGAGACCCAGCCTGTATCTGGTGAATCTGGCAAAGATCTCTCAGAGAGTTTATCATAGAGGTCAGCCTTAGCCACAATGTGAATACCATGCTACTGGAATCTCAGGGCTGGGAATACTTTCTGGCAGTGGGTAGTAGCATGTTTTCGCTGCCTGCTCTAGAGTTGCTTCCCAGGTGCTTTGTGTGGTGCAGGGTTACAGTTACCAGCTGTTTGGTGACGTATTGGTTCAGGGCGTGTGAAATGTACTTGACTTGAGTGAAACTGCAGAATTGTATTCTGAAGAGATTCTGGCTGGAATCAGGTGGGTGCTTTAGTGGAGTGAATACCAAGTGATGAGAGGCACAGTACCATCTTGTGAAGCAGGCAGGTATCGCAGTGACAAAGCTAAAGAAACGTTCTGTGACAGATTTTATCAGTCATAGGGAAGAATTGGTTTCCTAAAGCTTTTTTCATGCATAAACATTAACCAAAAGCATTTTGCTAAAGTCGAAGACTCCTAATTTCCCTAGGGTCACCCTCATGATCAGGCAAAATCCGTCTATCAAGCAGTCACTGTAGGTTGCCCACACCACTTTGTGTTAGCAGTTAGGCCTGAGACAGAGGAAAATGTATTACTTTTCGATTATCAGCTAAACTTCAAGCAACCTCTCAGTCTTTAAAACACTATTTTGAGGGGAAAGTTATTTTAGAGTTGCATAGAGCTGTAAACTGATGCAATGAGAGAGGCAGGTAAAACGTTGACCTTGCTGTCCTAATTTTCTGCTGGAACAGACTAAATAACAGAGTTGGTTTTGTGAAAGTGTAAGATGCAAAATGAAAATAAAAGCTTTAAAATCCAGGTAAGCTGGTATATACTTTGCACAAGCTAAGGTGGACAGAGAGGTTTAGCCTCTCTTGGAGGAAAAGGCAAATGTTGTCACTGTGTTTGAACAGTCTTCTGTGGGCAGGAGAATGGTTATCACATTCAGCTTGGGAAAGAAAAAAAGAACAGCAGCAAGGAGCTGATCCATTTGTAGTGGACACTTCTGGGGGCTCAGAGAGACTTTTTTCCTGATCCCCCCCCCCATGCAGGAGGGAGTGTGTTGTAAGTGTTAGCAGTGGGCTGTGCTTGGTGAGCCAGTGGTTGTGAGCCTGAACTCCCTTCTCTCTTGAAATGAGCCAGAAGAGTCTTGCTTGTGTATTTGAAGGCAGATGTGTTGATAGGACAGCATTTGGTAGAAACAGAAAACAAAATGTAGTAAAAAGGAGAAGAAAGAGAAAGTAAAATAATTTGAAAACAGGAAACTTTCTGGGTATCTGTGGTCTGGAATAATTTGTTAAAACTACTGTTACTCTTCAGAAATCATTGTTACTAAGGCTGTTATTATTTTAACAGTTGTTTAACAGGTTGTTAATTTTTTTGAGAAAGTGCGGCATAGGTCTTGCTGTAACTCTGTAGCCAGCTGCTACAGAACTGTGGGGTGCCTGTGATGCCATGCCCCTGAGGGTTGTGTGTGGACAGCTGTGATTGCAAGACTGGGCTGTAGAGAGATGTCTCCAGCGCTGGACCTCCTTGATCCTGTAGAGTGGGTCAGCGTGGGGAGGGGGTGCAGTGAATACAAACCACATTTGCTTTCCAGGATAGCGATATTCCAGGACAACAGAGTGGTAGTTGGCGATTCCAGTTAAATATAATTTGCTTCCCCCCTGCCCCCCGCCCTTTTTCTCCCTACCACAGATAGGAGTCAACCCAACTAGTGTTGATCTCGTGAATATTGGCAAGGATGAAGAGGTGAAAATGAAGCCAGGCCAAGTTCTGCATATCGTGAACAAACTTTACCCCTACACGGTGCAATTTGCTGAAGAGTCAGGGAAAACTGTTACAGAAGCAGAAAAGAAAATACAAACCAACAAGATGCCACGTGAGGTCTCCTCTGAGAATGATGATGTAGAGCTTATGCCCAGAAAAACAATGAAGATGGAGATGGTGGATACACAAGGCAGTTCTGCAAATTCCAAGCTAAGCAATACTGGTGTATCTCCTCATGAAGGAACTTCGAGCAAAAAGGCAAGTGTATTGGTATTAGTATTTGTGCTGACTCTGCTGCAGTTGTCTCCTCCACTGGGGCTCTGATCTTTTACTTTTGTGGGTACTACTGATGGGGAAGCGTCTCAGGTGAACACAGATCCTCAGAGTATTCAGAGTATGCGAGCTGACATGCGCCCAGGCAAAGACTTTGCTCCTGATATCACCCAGGTCCTGAGAAAGTTACCTGGGACCCGTTCTAACCTGAGCTGGGGAGTGGGTTTGTGTGAAGGGGCTTCCTTGTAGTGAATGAGGATTAATCTCTGGTTCCTGCTGCAGTGTCTGCTTGGACAGTCCACGTGAGCTCAGTGTAGCTGGAGTCACACACAAGGATACTGTGCTGGACCTTGAGATGAAGTCTGTGGTGTTACAAATAGAGCAGTGGTTGTCTAAAAGCTTACACACAGAGAATGGAACAACTTGTCGCTCTTTTAATTTTTAATGGCCTTTTTTCCCCTCCTGCTTTGGTCATTCCTTATGATAGAACTGTGTTTACATTAGTGAATGTTACCTGCCAAAATGTTTTGAAAGGGAGTTTTTAGCCCTGCTGAGATGGACAAAATAAAAGACTGTTTTGTGCATCTGGAACTATAACAGTGCAGTTGCTGGAGGAGAAGGGACAGAAGTGAAACGCCTCAGTACAAAATTTCAGTCCCAGGTTGTGATGAGTTGACCACTTATTTCATTTGCGAACGCAGGCGAGTTAAATTAGGACCAGATTTCTGGTCATATGAGCCAGGGAGACAAGACAATTCACACTGTTTCTCTGTCAGCACTATAATAATGTTTGAACATCTTCCTCTAGAAGAATCTGATGAAGATCATCATTGATAATGCCTGTAAAGTAATCTGAACAGACAAAACATTATCTGTTTTGAAAAACAGTGCACTCGAGGCACCTTCTACTAGGCATTCAGTAACCAAGTTAAGAGATGTCTGCTAGTTTTGGCTTGATCTTCCTGTGCCTTTCTTTTCTGTACAAGCTACTCCTTGCCTTGCACAATATAAAAAAATAAATACATCTAAGACTAGGGCCACACACTGCAACCACTTCTTTGTTCTATGCAGAGCAGCATGTGATAGGACAATTAATGGAGATCCTTGTACTTCCTTTAGCCCTTGTGATCCATGAAGCAGAGGGTCTTTTAGTAATCTGTCGTAAATAGTAATCAAGGACTGTGCCATAACATGTGTGCCAATTAAATTCAAACAGATCTAGAGCTCCTTGTTGTTAAATTTCCAACGTTTGAAAGACTTAACTTTGAATCTTAACAGTATCTTGTTAAAAGCTCTCAAAAGTAGCTTTGTGAGAGCAGTTGGAGCAGGTGTGTTGGCATTTATAGAAAGGAAATAATTCAGCTGTCATTCACCTGTTATTTCACTGTTGTATACTAATGAAAGCACTTAACGGAATGCTTTAAAACATATAATTGGATTCTTAATTATCTTATTTTTTTCCTTCTGTGCTTTAGGAACATTTAGGACACTGGAGTCAGGGTCTAAAGAGCTCCATGCAAGACCCAAAAATGCAGGTGAGCTGTACGCTTTGTATTTTACAGTAGTTCCTGTCTAACAAAGTTAAATGAACTTTCTTTCTTCCTTCTGCAGTTTACTTTAATGATTTGATTAACCAGTGGAATACTGCTTAAGGGCTGAATTGTACTTGCATCTCTCTGTAGTAGCATTAATTTGGGAGTCTCTACTGTACTGATTTTGCAGCATTTCATTATCTTAATTATCTTTGAGCTCTCTATACGGTCAGATTTGGCCAACGGATTTCAAAAAGGTTGCTGGGAGAGCAGGCAAGCAGTGCTGTTCTTTGTTTCCTCAGGGAAACCAACTAAAATGGAGATGTGGCGTGAAGCTGAGCAAGTAACGGAGATTCCTATTTTCCAGCAGTCAGCACCGCCTTGTTTCCAACATGGGGCAGTTTCCTGTTTTCCAGCACTCTTTACTGCAACACGTCTGTGCCAGCTGTGAGGATGTAACCCCTGGCTCCTCCTCCACCCAGTTTCTTTGTGCCCACAGGAATTTCCTGGGTGATTTCTTTTAACCTTCTGTGGATGCTCCACATGGATCTCCCTCACTCTGCTTCTCTCTGGTTGCATAATGGTTTGCCTTGAGCTCATTTTTTGTTGTCTGCTGCCTGCTTTTAGGGAGGTGTAGAGGGTTGACCCTGGCTGGAGACCCGATGCCCACCACAGCTGCTCTATCACTCCCCCTCCTCAGCTGGACAGGGGAGCAGCACAGGGAAATGGGGTTGCGGTCAGTTCATCACACATTGTTTCTGCTGCTCCTTCCTCCTCAGGGGGAGGACTCCTCACACTCTGCCCCTGCTCCAGCCTGGGGGCCCTCCCACGGGAGACAGTCCTCCACCAACTGTAGTTCTGGGGTGTCGTTCTTCACCAACTGCTCCAGCGTGGGTCCCTCCCACAGGGTGCAGACCTTCAGGAACAGACTGCTCCAGCGTGGGTCCCTCCCACGGGGTGCAGACCTTCAGGAGCAAACTGCTCCAGCGTGGGTCCCCCATGGGGTCACAAGTCCTGCCAGCAAACCTGCTCTGGTGTGGGCTCCTCTCTCCATGGGGCCACAGGCCCTGTCAGGAGCCTGCTCCAGTGCAGGCTTCCCAGGGGGTCACAGCCTCCTTTGGGCATCCACCTGTTCCAGTGTGGGGTCCTCCACAGGCTGCAGGTGGATATCTGCTCCACCATGGACCTTCATGGGCTGCAGGGGGACAGCCTGCCTCACCATGGTCTTCTCCAGGGGCTGCAGGGGAATCTCTGCTCTGATGCCTGGAGCACCTCCTGCCCCTCCTTCTGCACTGACCTTGGTGTCTGCAAAGTTGTTTCTCTCACATCTTCTCACTCCTCTGTCTGCAAATGCTCCTATTTTTTTTGGATGGTTTTTATTTTCCTTTGTTTTTTTCTTAAATACGTTATCCCAGAGGCATTGTCACTCGCTGATGGGCTCAGCCTTGGCCAGCAGTGGGTCTGTCTTGTAGCCGGCTGGCATTGGCTCTGTCAGACACAGGGGAAGCTTCTAGCAGCTTCTCACAGAAGCCACACCTGTAGCTCCCCCCCGCTACCAAAACCTTGCCATGCAAACCCAAACCAGGAGGTCAGACTCAAGACGCAAAAATTTGACAAATGTTTTTTGTGGCTGCAGTGTATACACACTTTCTTGTTACTGTATTCTGAGAGAGCACTGAGAGAATCGTCCCTATCCATGTATAGAACCTACTTTAATTTTATTTTTAAGTTATGGCAAATATGTAGACAACTCCTAAAAACCAAGCTGTTTAGCTTAACTCCAAAATAGGGAGAATGCTTTCCATCAATATTCCACAGTCTGGCAGGATAAGGTCTGAAGCTTACTCTCGGTTTGGGCTGGCTGACTGCTGCATGGCCATCTTAATGTTAAAGATCTGTTTTTCCCTTTGTACTTCTCAGCAAGAGTATGTGTTCAGGAGGATGGATATCACAGACACCTGTGATACTTGGGTCTTGAAATTACTGAAGAATTTTAGTTGGAAAACCTGTGGAGGTCACCCAGTCTGACCACTTGCACTCAGTGTGGTTGCCCCGGCTTTTGTTTGAGTTGAGATGATCTCCAAGAGTGAAGATCTCACAGTCTCACTGGGCCCTTTCAGGTGATGGTCACCCTCAAACTGAAGATAATTTCCTTGATAACTAATTAGAGGGGCCCTATATTTTGATTTTTTTTAATCTTTGATATTTTTTTTTTTGTTAAATTCAAGTCTAAAGTGTTGAACTGTGTAGAGTTGTAAGAGAACTGGATGCCCATTCTCCTGGAAATGCCAGCAGTTTCAAATTACTTTCTGTGGGGAATGATAAAGCCATTGAAATACTTGCTTACTTTTCAAACATGAAGTTTAATCTTCATCCCTTAGGTGGAATTTCATATAGCACTTACCAAGACAGTGCTTTCTTGACCCGCAAGATAAGCTGGTTTTAAAACTGTTCTTTGAATGTTAGAACACAAGTAACTGTTTGTGACTTAGTGTTAGCTTTATTAGTTGTGGTTCTGAACTAAATTCACAAATAATAGAACTCCTATCTTTGCCATTTATTTAATATTTGATGAAAAACCAATATATCTTCTGAAAACACTTAATCATGATCCCATTCCCACTGGCTGCATATGCAGACACTAATGTGTGTATATAAAAATGACAGCACCAACCAGTCTTGTTGCTGAAAAAAAACAGTCATATGATTTGTGTGCTGATAAAATTATCTTCCTGTAGAGCAAGACTGATCAGCTCTGTATATAAACATATGACAATAATGAGTAAAGATGGCAAAGACATCATCCATCTCTCACCAATAGAATCGCTGCTAAGAGATCACACAGCACACAGTTTCTGCTTCAGAACCTGAGAGATTTTTATTGCCGGTGCAGCTTGTCCCCCTGTTCCTCCACATGCTTTGCTACTGTTTCTCTTCATCACCTGCATCAAATTGCTGCAGAAGGCAAAAAAAAAAAAAAAAAGAAAACGGGGAGAAGGGCATGATAGACAGGAATCTGTTCTCCTTTTTGTGAGTGATCTTACAAAGTAGGACATTGGGTAGCATGAATTGAAATAGCTCAGACCCTTTGTAATGCCAGTGGAGGTCTGTAGCGCTGAGCATGCTATTTGTAGCACCTCTGAGACTTGTGTTTCACTCCAGAAATCTGTGAAGGATGACGCCGTCAGGTGCATTCCTGTGTGCTCTGTATTGAGCACAGTGCTGTGATGATAATTTCAGTGACTGCAAAGCTTGAATGTAGCCTGATGGACGTAGTTTTTCCTAGACCTCACTGGTATCTGAGTCCAGGTGATTTTCAAGGGAGTTCATATCCACCTGTAGCAATGGTTAACTTATTGCTATGTAAGAATAGAAAGATTTTTTTCCTTCAAGTATATAAAGAGGGATACTGGAACATCTCTCCATAGCTGCCTGGTGCATGGTATGGAAGAGGGTATCTTAGACCAGCAGGTATCCTGGACCAATTTTGTTCCAGCAAAAGGCCGCCTTGAAGTGGAATGCTCTGCTGCTTGATATTTCTCCCCATCCAGTAATCTTTCCTGGCTTTTTCCTGGCAGTCCCAGTTACAGGCATGTATACGTGTGCTTGGGGACTTCTGCAACCGCAGTGGGATGTGCAGATGGATAACATCTCAAAATCCACTAAATATAGTGCTTATAGGAATAACAGTCTTTCAATCAGTAAATAATCTAATTATTTGTTTTGCAAGGTTTATAAAGATGAAAAGACTGTAGTCATCAAGGACAAATATCCCAAAGCACGTTACCACTGGCTCATCTTACCATGGGACCCCATTTCAAGCCTGAAGTCAGTCACCAGGGACAATCTTGAACTCCTGGAACATATGCATGCAGTTGGGCAAAAAATGATTGACCAGTGCCCTGCCAGAGAGAGCCTGGAGTTCAGACTGGGTTACCATGCTATCCCCAGCATGAGGTAAGACCTAGATGGGTCATCAGGTGGAGACCCTGTTCTTCCAGTTACACAGATTTGGGGATCAATCTGTAATGTGATCTGGCATTGCTAAAGAACAACTAATCCTCCTAAACACTACAGTTTGGTGTCCAAGTCCTTTTGGTGCAGCTGTGCGCACACTGCTGCATACATGCTGATGGGCTACACAGGTGTCGCGGGTCCAGTGGGAAATAGGTTCCCCTAGCAGAGGTCTGTAGCTGGGGCGGTGGTATGCCTGTCGTCCTGTCCCAATGAAAGAGGTGGTACTGCCACTGCCCAAGTGCTAGGGCATCCCCCCCTCCCAGGGCACCAATCTGGGATCAGAGAGTGACTCAAGTCCTGCCTCATACAGAGCAAGGATTTGAGTCTTGTGTATAAGTAATTCCAGATGTTACTGCATCCAGTGCCTGTGTCCAGTGCAGTCAGTGTTCCTAGGTTGTTCTCCAGTTCTTGGTTGAAGCTTTGAGTCACTGATAAATCCCATTCAGGTACTCTACAAAGTTTAAACCTTTGGTTTATTAAAACTACTATCTCTGCCTTTTTGGAAGTTATCAGGAATGTAGATTGTAGTTTGGGGCCAATAGAATAGGCAGACTAACAACCTTGACTGTTTAAGTGAAACATTTGGCATGAGAGAGCGCTTCCAGAACAGACTGTGTTTCTTCTGTCACAGCACTGTGGGTCAAACATGGTGAGACTGACCCATAAGGCTGGCAGTCTGACTCTGCTGAATCATGTTTGCAACTAATACTACTGCAAAAGAACTTTGAGCATTGACGTTATTCTTCTCTTATCTACATAATACTTGTTTCAGTCAGCTACATTTGCATGTCATCAGCCAGGATTTTGATTCTCCGGCCCTGAAAACCAAAAAGCACTGGAACTCTTTTACTACAGACTACTTCTTAAACTCTCAAGGTAATGATTATAAAAGGTATTTTGTAACGTGTAATCCCGCTTGTGGGTTCTGGCTTTGGGCTTTTTTCCCAAACAAATGCGTAAGCCATAAATTCTATTGTAACAAGTGAAAAGTTTAATGTACTTTCAGATATGGGGAATAGCACTAAGTAAAAGTCAACTGCATTTTGTGACTGGTTTAAATTAGAATGCAGTAATGACATGCTGTGCATGCGAAGCAGTGTGCAGATTCTGCAGTGTCATGTGTTTCATGATGCCACATGGCCCCAGTATGTCTGGTCTCTTTTTTCAGATGTGATAGAGATGGTAAGAAGCAAGGGAAAAGTGATGGTGAAAGATCATGTCTCTGAACTTCTCAAATTGCCCCTCAGATGCCATCATTGCAAACAACAGCTGTCCACTATCCCACAGTTAAAGGAACATCTCAGGAAACATTGGCCAAAATGACTGTGCGAAAAATCCTCTTACAACCTGTCTTTGGATTTCAGGCTAAAACAGAGACCTTGCAATGTTAGTGGACATGTATGGTTTTTTGTTAACTGGAATGACAAAAGTATGTGGGGAAAAAGTAGCCTGGAAACAGCAGCATACTAAATTTGTAATAGCTTAGACACACCAAAAAAAAATTAAAAAAAAAAATAAAGTGACTACTGAAATTGAAGGTGTGTTTGCAGCTTTGTTGTGGTACTGCCACTCTGATCTGTATGTGAACCAAATCTGGAAGAGTTGTTTTGTTTGGATGAAAGGATTTATTTTAATTGAGAAGCTGAGGTGTTGAGCCCAGATCTAGGTTTCTACTGAGAAAGGAAAGAAACAAACAATGATTTTAGAGGTCTTTTTGTTGATGTCTTCTGCCTATCGCTGAAGTTTCTCCAAAGTGATAGTGTTGCAGAGGCTGGTGTGGCTGACAGCAAAACTGTCAGAGGAGTGTACCCAGAGTGTATGGACAGACCATCAGCAATGGCATCCCCACCTCACTGTCAACAGCATGGCTTGAAGATTTCAGTGCTGTGGAGCTTCCCTTGGCTGTGGAGAAGGCATCACCCATCACCAGGCTAGTCACTGCTCAGACTCTAGGAGGGGCAGCCTATCCCTTTCATGTACAAGGATGTATTTAATTGTTAATATATAAAAATACATGCATAATACACAATAACCGGCTTTATTGCTCCCCAGAGTAATAAACTACTGAGGTTTGCAGTTGCTTGGCTGCATGTATTGAGGTTGGCACAGAAATCATGTGGTTTCATTTAGTTTTGGTGAGCCTCTGTCATTTGATTGTTGTCAAGATGTGGACTCCCAGATAGACAGCAGAGCAGTAGAATAGAAATCTTTTTCTGGGTCTAGAACTGGTTTGTAGCGTTTAATTTCATTCTAAGCCCAGCTTTGACTTGTTAAGTAGGATGCCCTCTGAGTGAAATGGCTTTCAGTAAGAGTACACAGAGCTTTTGTTAGACAAGGAAAGTGCGGTTCCCAATTCTTGGTAATGTATTCTGTGGGGAGAGGGTGCCTCTTCTTCATGACCCTGTGCAGCAGCGTGTTACTGCTGGTGCAGAGTGACCTGTTGCTGCTGGAAAAGAGGAGATGTTCCTGTAGTGGAACGGGGGACAGTAGGGATGAGGGGTTGGCTGAGACGTAATTTCAAACACCAGTCACACTTTAGTTTTTGCTCACATTAGTAATATTATGCCTTAATTTAGAAAGCAAAACTTATTAAAAAAAAGAAACAATGACAAAAGCACAGCCAGTCTGGAGATTCAGTCTTGACGCTCTGGCCCCAGAGGTGAAGTAATGCCAGTGCTTAGCAATGGGGACTGTTTTGAACCAAGAGCAGTTGTAAACACTTGAGAACGGTGGTCTTCCTCATGTGGCAGACGCAGGCCAGAAATGAAAGCCACGCTGCCTCACAGTTAAGCGCACTGTTTATGCCCCACGCCTGTAACATGGGGGTGGGTGTCATGATTTTTAGGGGCTCTTGGAGCAGGTCAATGTGAAGCACAAACACCTGCACTCCATCTATGTAGAAATGGTGCGCAGCTGTCTGAGTCATGGTACTTGTACACAGAGCACTGGTTTCTGAGGGGCAAGCCTATGTATGATGTCATAAGTCAGTGGCATCAGTAGAACCAGTGCCACCAGGGCTCCAGGCATGTGTTTGACCCCAGGTAGAGTGGTGGCAGGGCAATCCTACTGAGATGCGTGTCCAACACGTGAAGTCACTGCAGCTGTACTGGAACGGTCTGCAAGAACGGCAGCAGCATATCCAGGCTGTTTGAGCCTGTAAGGGACAGCCACGTATCTGTGACTCAGGGTAGCCTCAAGGCCATGCAGGAAACTAAAGCAGTAGTCATAGACATTGGCACGAGTTCCTTCAAGTGTGGCTTTGCAGGGGATGCATGGCCTTCCTGCATTTTTTCATCTACAGTTGGTAAGCCTATACGGGAGACTGGGAGCAATCAGAAAGAAACCTTTGTTGGAAGACAGCTTCAGAATAGCAGCGTACCCTTAACACTCATCAACCCAATAAGACGTGGCATAGTGGTGGACTGGAACTGTGTCCAAGATACTTTGAAGTGTATTTTCCAGACTGAGATGAAGATTCAGCCAGAGGACAATGCTGTTCTAGTGTCAGTGCCTCCCCTGTGTTCCATCACTGACAAGGAGAGATATGCCGAGATGATGTTTGAAGGATTTCACATACCTGCCGTCCACTTTGCCTACCAGTCCCGTTTATCCATGTACTCTTACGGAAAAACCTCAGCTCTTGTGGTGGAAAGTGGCCATGGTGCTTCGCACGTGGTTCCCGTCTATGAAGGTTATGTGATACGTAGCATCACTGGGAGAGTAGATTATGCTGGCTTGGACGTCACATGTTATCTCATGAAGTTACTAAATGACTCTGGACACGTGTTCACAGAACAGCAGCTAGACATCGTACAAGATCTCAAAGAGAAGTGTTGTTACACTTCTCTGGACCTTACACAGGACTTGAGTTTGCCTATTCAGAAAGAACAAATGAATTATGAGCTGCCAGATGGACACCTTGTCACTGTCGGCAAGGAGAGATTCCTTTGTGCTGAAGCGCTCTTCAAACCAGCCTTACTTGGCTTACAGCAGCCAGGGCTCTTGCAGCTGACGCTTGCCTGTCTCAAGAAGTGTGATGCTGACGTCAACAAAAAAATGGTGGGGAACATCCTGCTGTGTGGGGGCAGCACTATGATGGAGGGCTTTGTCGACCGCTTCCAGATGGAACTGGCCAGGCTGTGCCCCAGTGATAACCTCATCACAGCTGCATCCCCTCAAAGAAAGTCTTCTGTTTGGGTTGGTGGGTCTGTTCTGGCCTCACTCCGCTCTTTCCAGGAGCTCTGGGTTTACAGGAGTGAATATGAAGAATGTGGTTCTTCCTGCATTTTTAAGAAGTGCTTCTGAGGAAGACACTGGGTGCTTTAGAAGGATCATTGACAGAGGTACCTGAATAAATTAAAGAGCATCTCCCTTCCACTCCTTGCTGTAAGTAAGAGATTGCTGCTGGAGTTGCACTTTTTGTGATACTGTGCGCCTGAAATAGTTTCTTTTGTATTTAATGAAGCTAGACAGCAGAGAGGTGACAAACTTCTGACAAGAGAATTGGGCTTCCATATAGAACCATAGAATCATAGAATAATTCAGGTTGGAAAAGACCTGTAAGATCATGGAGTCCAACTGTTAACCTTGCACTGCCAAGTCCACCACTAAACCATGTCCCTAAGTGCCACATTTACGCGTCTTTTAAATACCTCTGGGGATGGTGACTCCACCACTTCCCCGGGGCAGCCTGTTCCAATGCTTGACAACCGTTTTGGTGAAGAGATTTTTTTTCCTAATATCCATTCTAGACCTCTCCTGAGGCAACTTGAGGCCATTGCCTCTTGTCCTGTCACTTGTTATTTGGGAGAGGAGACTGACACCCACCTGGCTACAGCCTCCTTTCAGGTACTTGTAGAGAGCGATAAGGTCTCCCCTCAGTCTCCTTTTCTCAAAACTAAAAGAACCCCAGTTCCCTCAGCCACTCCTCATCAGACTTGTTCTCCAGACCCTTCACCAGCTTCGTTGCCCTTCTCTGGACACGCCCCAGCGCCTCAATGTCCTTCTTGTAGTGAGGGGTCCAAAACTGAACACAGTACTCGAGGTGCGGTCTCACCAGTGCCGAGTACAGGGGCACAATCATTTCCCTACTCCTGCTGGCCACACTATTTCTGATACAAGCCAGGATGCTGTTGGCCTTCTTGGCCACCTGGGCACACTGCTGGCTCATGTTCAGCTGGCTGTCAACCAGCACCCCCAGGTCCTTTTCCACCAGGCAGCTTCCCAGCCACTCTTCCCCAAGCCTGTAGTGT